TACATGTGAAGGACGACATATTTACAAGCAACATATACGGTATATAGGAGTTTTCAACCAGATTGTTTCCCATTCCAGCGCAAAATAAATCACGGAGATTTGAGAATGCATTTTCAGAAAATAAGTAATCCCCTTATATTAGGCTATTTTCATAAAAACATGTGAAATCTCTGCATTTCCATGACTGATGTTTCGAATCGTTTCAAATGAGCTTGACATGATCAGCTAAAATAGTTAAGAAATACCCTGTCACTGTGGCTTAGATTATCTAATACATTCAGTTCTCAGGAACAAGTCAAGAAGCACCAGTTTAAAGCAACCTTTGGGTTTTATGTCAATTATTGAATAATGCCAGAATAAAAAAGCTTTTAAAATATATATCTTAGATCGATATATTATTCTTTCGATATTCCTATAAATGAATAAATGCCGATTGTTGCAATAACAAGTATAACCATTCATCATTTTTATTAAGTAAAGAATTTATTTACATCAATTACGGTATAAAAACAGCTACCTGTAGAAAAAATAAAAACGGATACCCCTTCAATCACTCACCTTTTCAATCCACTCCTACCTATTTTATTATAACATGGAACTAAAGTAAACCCTTTGATTATTTTTCATAATTTGTATCGATTGAATTAGAAGTACCCCTGTTCCTTTTTCTATCCTGGGAGCCAATCCTCCTTGAAACCTGGCCAAAAATTCAGGTTACGATGCGATAATAGATTTTCATTTCAGGTAAATCTCAACATGCACACTAGAGTCTAGAGAGGTCCATGATCTCAATTACTCATATGCGAATAGGTAGTTACCAGCTTCGCCACCAGGTGGCTGATTCGAGGGAAATAACATGGCAGGGTATTACAAAATTCCTTTAAACTTGAATATTCATCAGTTTTAGTGATTCATTTTTCATATTACCCTTATGCATGTGATAGTTATACAAATTAAAATGTGTGAAGTAACTCAAAATATTATTTGCCCAACACACGAAAAGATATTTCACTTTTGTGGTTTTACAACATGGGGTCTATGGGGAATGTCCCCGACCTAGAAGTCACATTTTCAAAGAAAAATAAATTTTCATAGTTGATAAACTCTTTACAGTACACATTTCTAGATGTAATTTTACATGTAGATTCCAAATATGACAACAGTTTGACTGAATTGTGAATGACGTAAATCAAGATTATTTCTACTCGCATCAAGGATATTACCATATCGAGTGGGTATTTTGAACTATTTTCCCTTTATCCGCTTAGATAGACACTATCACAATCTTTGGTCCTAGGGTAGATGCTTTCCATTGAATAAAAAATAAATGAAGACCATTGATGAAGGGTGACTGTCACAGTAATAACTATTGAAGGCTTACAGCTTGTGATGGTATGTAACCTAAAGGAATTTCTACAATTAGTATTATTCACGAGGCTTTAACCTTTTAAGATGTATGACATTTTATATCATATATTATTTTCTTAGTACCTAATCTTACTTAATCCTGTGTAATTTAGTTCGGCCTTTTGAAAATTGCAGTATAAGAGTTCAAGATTTTATGTAATATGTATTTTTTATAAATAATTGCATCATATCAGTTAAGATATACACGAAATGACATTTCAGTAAATTGTCGCCATGTATTAATTTCTTATCGTGTTAAGTTTACAGGCAACTGAATGGGTGTAAATAGTTTTGTATTTCAAATTTCAGTTCTTCAGGTTTTTCTGTATATCTTAAAAAGACCCAGTACTGTCAACCCCCAAAGATTTTCTCGCGGGACCGATTTTTTAGACCCAGTTCCAAAAATTCGCGGGATTTTGCGGGACATCCACCTAAATTCGCGGGATTTCGCGGGACATTTAAGGGATTTGCGTGATTGCGCTAAAAGGTCAAATTTTGATCAAATTCGCGGGATTTCGCGGGACCATTCGAGGGACAAACACGCTACTTGCGAGACAATTAACAGGGTAACCACCAAAGACTTCAGAGAGGGATAATTTTTCTAGACAAAGTGCCCTAAATTCGCGGGATTTTGCGGGACATCCACCTTTTGCGGGATGTCGCAGGACATTCAAGGGATTTTTAATGTAAAAGTACTCTTGAATCAAACTTTCAGATACTGATTTATCAAATATAATGCACTTAACTTAAGTAAACGTCAACACAATTCCACACAATACGCATAGAACTATTATTAAACTATCAAAAACCACGCTTTAGGTGTGAGTACCGTAATCCGACACGAAATTCAAAAATTCTTGTGAATACTTTGCACTTATGGCGTTCGTGACCAACTATGAAACATTTACCCCCATAGTGTTATATATCAAAATGTACCTATTCGTATAAGGGTTCGATTATTCTACATCAAATTATGGGGAGTCAGGTTTCTTTTCGAGATATTAGTGTCCATTTATTGGAACTCGCGTTTGCTAACATTTGTTTAGTTCTAAGATGAAGGCCGTGACACGCGTAGTAAAAAGGCCAACGTTGGAACTAATCGTGACATACATCCCTATTTCCGTAATTAAAATGAAATTTGCACTCTTCCTCTTTATTTTGATACCAAACGGCATGCTAGGAGCCAACTATGGTGTTATTTGGATCAAAATCATAGTTTTATAAGTGTACTATATGCTCCTTCCAAAAGCAGTCTTCGATGATCTGATGCACTGGGAGTTCGGCAGCACTTTTAAAATTAGGTAAACTTGACTCCTCAAAAGTGCAAAAAGCTTAGCTTCTTATATCACAATATAATCACAATTATTTAGCCTCGGGGATTGTTACAATTTTGAAAATTCGCGGAGGTCAAAGCCGTCATTTGCGGGAATTCGCGGGACATTGCGGGACACGCGAATAGGCCAAATTTTGGTCAAATTCGCGGGATAATCCCGCCATTCGCGGGACACTTGACAGCTCTGAAGACCCATATAAACAAATTCTTCCTTCGACAATATACAAATGATAATCGGACGCCTGTTGAGTGTTAAGGACACTGGAATATAACAAGAACAATTTTGCATGTGCCAAATCAAAAATATGCATACAAATGATATCAACAATGATGTTTATACGTGCGGACGTTACAAAAGTTAAATTCACATGATATGCTTAATGTAATTATTTTTAATTTGTGCGCGGATTAGACATAATTAAATTGAATTAATGCGTTTTATAAGCATATCATTTTATGATAATAATTGCCATACTCTTGCAAATAGATGGTTTGAAAACTGACAATTACAAATAAATGGAATCGATAGTTATTATAGTATAAAATTAATTTTGTACATATAGCCTGCCAACTGATATTTCCAACTTGTATCTGGCAAGTCTAAAAGGTTCTGTCCGGTTCAAAACTAACCACAGATTGGCACAAGGTAAAGCAGATTAATAAATGACCCAATTAGGGATTTAGGGTATGAATGTGATACAATGTCTCAATACATAAAACGAATGTGAAATGATTGCAAATGCAGTTCAAAGATCAAGAAGGCAGATTTTTCACATTTTTAAAGAGTACCCTAAAACAGAAACAAGAACTGAAGGATCCTCTACGGTGACATATTGCATGGGATAAAAAGAAACGAATGTCGTCTACGTTAAGCTTCTCGATATTTTATGAAACAACTATCCCCCCAATATTTAGAGTTGAAACACATAGTGTACAGGCCCGCAAAATATTCAAGATATGTAGCAACAGTGTATTTCAATTTCCATCAGACCAATCTCTAAAGTGTTGTTTCTATACCTATTGAGAGGACTGTAGGGCATACTTAATATACTTCTCATCAAGCATTCACATATTTCAATTAACGCGCACTTGTTGCCGAAGATCATTAAAAAATGAGTTCTAACTTGCGTCAACTCGCCGGAGGTAAGAGAGCCGGAGGATATGATTTCTAAATATCAACAACGATGTTTCATTTCATTTGCGCATTAGCAATTTACTGTTCGTGTTAATTGAATTTAATATTGAATTATCAAGCCTTGTCATGAAATGGTATATGTACATGTTTTGCCAATTGCATTTAGTATAAATAGCGTATGGATGTTAATTCGTTGTTTGTAATTTTCTCCATCGTTAACCTGTCATCAAAAGAGTTATATATTTGTTGGCAGCTTGTGCCTTCAAAACACTGCCAATTCCAACGTGCACGTGAAAACTACTTTACATGTTTTCAGACGCTTCTATTTTGCCAGCTCTTCAAAACACAATATGTTAGCTCAATAATCATTCAATGATATTCTATGAAAGAAAAAAATTCTATTTTGCCATTTGGGTAATTTACCTGATGTCGCCGTCTAGCAGCGTATCCTATATTCTTAAAAATGCGTTCACTCCGTGCCATTTCCAAATGATAGTAGGTTATATATGGGCAAATTTACATTTCGTAATTGTTTAATCTTTGGATGCCAATTTTTCATTTTGGCACGTGTACTTAACTCAAACTTTTCTGGGTTCAAAGTATTGAATGCTACGTATAAAGAAGAAAACATAATAGGTTTGAACATCCTTTAAGCGTGTTCTATCCGACACGAATTTCAACAAACTAACCAACTGCAACTTCTGTCATATAAAAATTAACCAAGCTCATACACTATATGTATTTGCCAAGTTATCTAAATGTAGCTAAATCCTGAACGTAGAATGAAAAAATAGTAAAAAACGTACGAAACACGAAAGATTTACACATAAATCTACAAAAAGTTATCAGTGCATTCTTCAATTTACAATATGAACGAATATGGTGACATCTGAAAAATTATTCATGAAGGATTATAAAGTGTCAAAACAATCATTATATCGAGCATCCTATCGGGAACGAGTCGAATGATGACACGTTAACTTGGAATATCGAATCGGGTATAATGCCTCCCAGTCGAATAAATACTTTTAAGTTGGCATAACCTGTCAAATCGTAGGGAAGATTTCTCTAGAGTAAATCTCGGACTGAATATTAAATAAAATATGGATCGTTCAAAAGACTTACGTAAGAAATCATGGGGAGATTAAAACCTCTGGCGATGAAAGCTTCGTGCACACACGTCTCCTGTGGGCCGATATACGCCGAAATATTCTTGTTTGGAAGCATAGCGGTCTCTCTAACGCTAATCGCTTCTTCTCCATACGTTTCTGCGATAACAAACTCGAGTTTATGATTTGGTAAGACTGTGGTGTCGTTGTTTATTTCGTTAACAGCAAGTGTAATAGCTCCTGATATTACTTGTCCCGGCTTTCTATACATACTCATTTTATCAGTGTTTGGCCGTTTTGACCCAGTGATATATCCAAGGCGTATGATACCATTTTCCTGACCTAAGCTCATTTGCATTTCGACAACTAAAATCCATACGACTGTCAAAAATGTACCATCCATCTTCCAGTTGAGTATCCCTTTGTAGATTTCAAAATAAACATACACGTCAAAACCTTTTTTATGTGAAGAAAAAATTCTCACTCATTGATAAGAATTAAAAGTGTTTCCATAGTGATTATATGCCATATGTATAAATAGAGCTTGTCCGATTGTCAACTGTCACTCCATTTGCACATAAACCCCACACTTAAAAATCAGATACTTAGATTTCCTTTCGCATACATTGCAAAGCAATCTCGATGAATCGAAATGAGCGACTGGGTTTACGTTCTTACCGCTGTTACGATTTAATCTCGTCTAGCTGAACCGGCTGTTGCGGCTAAATTAAAACCTGCGCATCTCGATTCATACTTTTATCCCGTCCAACAGCATCTAATTCATCAACATCGACCAGTCTTTTCAGGATATGAGTATTGTTGATATCATATAAAGTACCGTATTTGTATCGAATTTAGGTATGAATGTTGTTTACCCTGATACCATGGTGATACCAATCCACGTTTTCTCGCATGTTAAAAACATTACAATAACACCTCGGTTCATCAAGAAAATCAAGTTTACATTCTTAATTACAGCAGTACGATTTATGTTTGTGTTTTCTAATGGACTACTAGCACTTAAATTATTTTCTTTTGTGATGCGTTAAACCAGCTGGTGTACGTTAATAAGTATATTTACTAGTATTCCATTCACTTGACAAATACGTACAAACTTGAACTATACATTACTACGTACAATCTTAAACAAACCTGAATATAAGTAATGGCCTCAAGAATTGCTAGGAGATGATCTTTAGGCATTACTTGTAAACATCACTTTAGAAATTTCGTTGACAGGTCCCTCAGCTACAGTTTGACAAAATGTTAATGACATTTGGCTTCTAATTGTGCATTTGGAATTATTCCGCCAAAAGTAGTGCGAAATGTTCTTTTTTCTTCACATCTTTTGTGTGATGGAAACGGCCTAACCTGACCAAATGCGTTTGTTTCATGGTTCAGTAGATGTATCGAAGAATTTCAGGAACGTACACTTACTACGTTGTTATGTTAAATAATGTGACATTTTTCGTTGTTTCCCTTTAGCTTTCCCCATTCCCAGCAAAACATCATAGTGGTTTCCAATTAGTGTCATTGTGGTACCCTTTGTTTTTGCTCTCATTTTACTCCAAGTTTGACAGTTGCCATGGTAACTATAAGCCCTTGGTAACCTTGACAACTTGATTTTTGAACGATATCCACCTAGTCGAAGCCCTGATTGATATGCTGACAGTGATGTTGATTGCGGCAAGTAGTGAATCGTCCTCCCCCACCCCTCCACAACGAGTTAATTTTAGCGGAATTTCGAGAAAGAATGACTGGGTTACTTGGCCTTTATTTTCGTTTCCGTGAAAAAACATAACAGTAAAAATGTTTGTTAGAGTACATAACTAAAGTATTTCTCGTCAAACGCTTCTCTTCGGATGATGTTTTCAGAATCAATGATGCGTATATATTTTTTATTTCAGTTATTATTTATGTTGGAAGTAATCGTATATTATCCTTTAATCTGGAGAAATGCCAAATACGTAATATTTTAACGTTAAGAAACTAGTTGCAGGAATTATTTAAGAATTGTGATCTCGAGATTGACTTGATTAATTAGTTGATCTACACGGTCAAGGTAAATGCATTTTTCGTGTTATTGCATGGTAATATTGTATCACTCTTCCATAAAAATGATCTGATATTATTTATCAATTACTATGTGTAGTAATCATAGTCGTTTCTGATTTCATCATATCACCCCTCCACTATGTATTTAAATCATACTGCGACATTTGCAAGCGGGCACGGCTTGGCATGGACCGCAGAAATCTTGTGGGAAATTTCCTGAAAATATTAAGCCACATTGGGACTAGCTGATTGGGAGGACCGTCTTGATAATGTGTGCGGCCACGGGGGAAATATCGTGATTTGCAAAGCCCCTAGATATAAATGTAATAACACGAAAAAATGGAAAGATATGTATGATCCACTTAATTTAACATAAGTGCGCGAGTAATATAAAGACAAAAAGGCACGTAGAGATATGAACGTGATTGTATGCTGCTAATAACACGGTTGACGGAACAAATGCAATTTGTTAGTTTTTCTGAAATTCTTCTATCTGTCTATTGGTGATTGGCAAATCTTGGTCGTTGGTAGAAGTTAAGATTTGCCCCTCCACCTTGCCATGTGCACGCATTTCATTCTCATCAGCCCATAAGTTGTCTAAACCTCCGAAAAACGTTCGATTCCTTATATTTGCATACCACCATAGTGCTGTTATTTCATTTTTGTGCCTTTTGTGATTCAACTCCTTTTACCTTATCTTTGATTTAAAATTATGATTACGCTTATTCTCGTGGGTCATACAGTGTCTGTTAATTAATGGTCGCCTGGAACTCTATGAGTTCTCCTATTTCTTATCTTCTGTATCCTCATCTCACGATGACACTGGACCTTTTAGTAATTAATCAACAACATGACGCTTATTCATACAGTACTGACTGAGAAAAACTAATTATATTTGTAACAAATCCGTTTAACTAGAAAGACGATCTCTAGTTATGGATAAATCCGGGCTCCTGATACCTGACCCGAGATACATATAGTACGACCTGTCTAATTAGATAACATCTGGAATCTGAGAAGCCAGTACTCACTGGCGGATCTAGGGGGAGCCCATGCCCCCCCCCCCACCCCTCTTGGGTGGGCCCGGAAAAAAGCTGCACCCTGCGTGCAGAGTCTAGTTAAACTGAAGACGAAGCTCTCTTTTAAGAAGTGAAGTCAAACGAATGCAAAGGGTAGGAAAAAATGTGTGCCCAAAAATGAGTCTGGGCCTATATCTTGAAGGGTCTCAGTTAGTGGGCCTTTTTGGGCATTGCCTATTTAGGCCAAATCATCTAAACGGGCCTTAAATTTTCCAAATTTTTAGCAACGGGATCCGCCAGGGGTCCTCATATATAAGGTTTTCTTTGTGGTACAATTGAAAACCTTAAAGCTGAGTGTGGTCAGAGTATTCGCAACTATGTTTTACGTTGTATTGTCCGGATTATATCATTTGAATAACATACACCCTTGGTATACGCAGCTAACGAAAATTGACCGGTACGGGTCAAAAGCTGGACCGGTACGGGTTAACGGTTTTATTTGAATTTAAAACAGCCATAACTTGCTCAATATTGACTTCCTCGTGTCTAATTTGAAATATATGATGCCTCCCGATGCTTTTAAGTACCCCAATTTTTTACAGATTTTTAAACGGACCAAAACTCTCTAAATGCGCATTTATGCTCTTTTCTCTCGAGAATCAGCTATTGCCCCGAACCGGTCCGTCTTCTTGCTGCAAGCAGATTGCCCCGAACCGGTCCGTCTTCTCGCTGCAAGCAGGAGGAAATTCTTTGTCACAAAGTTTGGCATTTTAAGTACTTAAAGTACTAAATAAAAGTTATCGTGAAAATGAGACAGTCGTTCTCGAGAGAAAAGAGCATAAATGCGCATTTAGAGAGTTTTGGTCCGTTTAAAAATCTGTAAAAAATTGGGGTACTTAAAAGCATCGGGAGGCATCATATATTTTAAATTAGACACGAGGAAGTCAATATTGAGCAAGTTATGGCTGTTTTAAATTCAAATAAAACCGTTAACCCGTACCGGTCCAGCTTTTGACCCGTATCGGTCAATTTTCGTTAGCTGCGTATACCAAGGGTGATAGCATACTTCACCAGGATATCAACATTGCCGCTGATCATAATTGTGCACGATTTTTGGAGAAGAATAGATGGCATCGAAATCGATTGGCAAAAACAGATTTTTCTTGATTCAAAATTAGGAAACTGTTTCGTTTTTTGTTGCACCAATCAGTATATTCATGATTCAATAATATTGTTTGCATTCATTGAAAAATTCGTGTTTCAAATTGTACTCCATATGTTGTGTCATTTTAGAGATGTAATGTGTATATCGAACATTTTACATATCAAGGAGCCAATGAATATTATGCAATTAAATATCTTCAACATCGTACTTGAGGAGCGAATCGACCCCTTGTGACATCCCTTATCTCAGATCTTGGCAGTATGTTTTGCTTCAGCATCTTTCTTGCTAACCTATGACAATATTCCCTTGTCCCAGGCGCGCTCGCATGCTTGTAGTTTCAGATGAGATAAGAAACACAACACACTGCCTTTTTAAATCCCAACCGTGCGACATCTATTTACACGTGTAATCTTTGGGAACGTAATACATAAATCTAAACATTGAATGATCAAATATTACAATATACAGGGTGTCCGGAAAGTAAAGATACAAATACTCTTATTTTAAGAAATTTGGGTTTTTTGAAATGAAATTGCTACAGATTGTAGAGGAACAATATTACAATATATCTACCAACTTTAATCACATATAGTCTAAATGTGTTCAAGTTGCAGTTGTTATGGTTACTGATGTGAGAGGTATGCGGAGCAGTTCCAAAACAACGCTAAAAAGTGAAAATTGCCAAAAGACAACCATTTGAAACAGTGTTTTTTGTTGTATTTTCTATCAATGTTTTGTTTTGTTCATCATTGTATTATTGCTGTCATAGTGTTTTCTTTTATTTAATGATGTCATTGCTACATATCAGAACTATGTTATGTCACTAACCAGTATAATGAAAGAAATATTATACAAGTGCCTAGAAGAATGGTCCCTGGCCATTAGTAGGAAAGTCAATATTGCATCTCCACAATGCACCAATTCACAAAGCAAAAATCAAATCTTACAATGGAGTGTCTTGACATTAAACCTTTCTATACAATGCCCCATATTCACCTGATAAAGCCTCTTTAGACTTCTACCTTAATGACCATTGGAAAGCAATATTTGTAAAAAGTTCAACATACAAATGACACTCAGCTGGAAGTCAATGATATCAGCAATCTGAGAGATGGACAGCATTGGTTTTGTCAGGTCTTTGAATCGCCGGTCAAGATGCACCAAGAATGCATAGATAATGGGAAAAATACTGAATATTCAATTATAGTAGTAATATGAAATGATCAAATAATGTTACATTACTAATCCCTATGCTGTGGTGGCACATAATTTGATATAATATAGGAATAGATGGTGTAGTGCCAAGATCATATGAGCAGGAAAGAGATTTGTAGAACACAGTTGTGACATTGCTCCACTTACCCTCGACTCCCGTTACCATAACAACCATAACTTTTTTATTTTGAAACTTAAAGTCATGACAGTTGCAGGATATATTTTTATAATGTCATTCTACATTCTGGAGCAATTTCATCTCATAACAGGTAGATCTCTTGAAATTAGAGCATTTGTATCTTTACTTTCCGGACACCCTGTACATTGGTTTTAGAGTTAATGTTCAAAAGTGGTATAGTTTTTGAACACGAATGGACTGGATATGATATGATATTAGCACGAACGATAGCGATTGATATATATATCTCATGAACATTATGGAACAGTCAGTGAAACAATTAATATACTCTTAACTTTATTTATTTTTATACCCTTATTATTTTACAAAAATATATTTATAATGATTTTTAAAAAGTCAACACATTTTCAACACATCTAAAACTATTTACAGCTCACGCAAACTTAACAAAAAATAAAAGACGCAAATTTAACAACAAAAAACACATTTCAGCTAAGTCTGACTCTAGGTCCCTTAAGGGCGGTGTTTGATATTTCTTACTCACACGATAATATATTTATTGGTACATATATGATTTGTCAAAAATATGTATCCTCCAATACCATTGTCGATAAAACCAGCAAAACGATACTGCCTCTAATTATTTATCCATTACGCTTTTAAAGTTGTAATATTATTTGTCAAAAATATGTATCCTCCAATATCATTGGCGATTAAACCAGCAAAACGATACTGCATCTCATTTATCCATTACGATTTTAAAATTGTATTATTATTTGTCAAAAATATTTATACTCCGATACCATTGTCGATTAAACCGACAGTCATTGAAAACATCTGTCAAATATTTGGTATCCTCCGATATGCACATAATTATTCTAATCGTTTTATTTCGTGCAATGAGATATATCTCAATGGAGCTCAGTTTGCAAGGTATTCTTCCCAAACAGTTAGCATTATTCCCGTTTGGGTTAGTATCACCGCTGTCAAAAATTTAATTTGAGTTAGTATCATCCTCAGCGAATCCAGATTTTACCTTGTTTTGGAGGTTTATCGATATCGAACGAATTTTGCTACTATATGATCTTGATTTGGTCGTCGAAATTCGAACGTACTACTCTTATAGCTTCACTGTCTTTTAATGATGTCACCAGCAAATCAGTTAACAATAATAGATTCGTATATACATGTATGATCCTCAGAAGGCACATCGCCCTTCTCAAGATCATCTGGAGAATACTTAAATTCGTCCTTGGTCCATTTCTGATAAAATTTCATCATGTCGATTTTCGGCTTTTTTGTAACATAAACACCTTTTATTGGTTTCCCAATTTTCAGATGCGCTCCACTGATTCTTTCTCCTTCGAGAACACCGTCACCTGGTGGCAGCGACTGGTTTTCGAGTCGGGCCTTGTCACGGCCGGGTTCCCATGCCCATATCTGGCTGGTGCGACATTCCATCTTTTTTGATAAAAATATACGTCTCCTTTCAGGGTTGACCAGTCTCAGTTCGGTATCCAAATACAAGTCGAAGCGTATATTTCGAATTCTGAAACCCGCTGTTCCATCTTCACTCTCGAACGACCATCCAGATCCATCACCGATAACAGGGACTATTTTGCTCGACTCACGAAGCCGAATTGTGCTTGCATCATCTGCCACTAAATAATATACGTGATCAAATGGCGTTCGCATTAGAAGTCGATAGGCAGTCTATGAAACAAAAACATAGAAACATACCATGAGCCTAAATATGCAATAAATATTTAGTAGTGAGGTACGACTAACATTGAATCGGTCTCAGTATGATGTACATGTTTCAAAATTAATCAATACATTCCGGATATTTAGATGTCCTTATTAGGTGAAGTACCTCGATGATGTTATTTCACATTTAGTATTATACGAGTATAAACAATGTAATTGAAACATAGTACAGATACAATAAATTCTCCTGACAAAAGTAAGCACTAAAATCTACACAATTTCCTACTACAGCCGGATTTTCCTTAAAATACAAATTATGGGCGATACTTTGAAAACATTGAAATTCGCCACATACTACGTAACATACATAGTTCAATACGTATTAGTTATCAAGCCTTATGCGACCAACTTACCTTCGTATTTCCAGATGCCGCATACTTTTCCATTATGAACTAAAACAAAAAACGCATATTATATTATAAGAAACGAATACATTACCCGCTGTTAGCATTAAATATTTCAAATAAATACCCTGTGCAAAATAAACGCCCAGTGGGCCTATTCGCGAAAACATTTAACTTAACGAGTTTAACTTCGTCCAAAAATCTATAAAAATTCGAGGAGTTTCCAAACATTTTAAAAGTCATAGGTTGAAATTTGACATGAAAATGTAGATAGGAACTGGCACCACATCGGTCACGCTGCTGAATCCGTTAAGATCCATTATCGGTGGGTTGCGTATAGCGAAAAAATACTTTACTTTTTGGCCATCGATACCAAAATATTGTAAAGGAGTGGTATCGATATGGAGAACTGAATTCAACAATATTTTCTCTTAAACCAATCATTGAAAACATTCTGTAAAAAACACGGTATTTTATGTAATTTGACAGATTGACAATTTAATGCGAAAATTATTTAGAAATATTTTATATAACTGTTTTTGTTAACATTTTTTTTTAGTGCAATTGTTTTTGCTCCTTTCTACCAATTTTTGAGAATGAAATTAAATGTTTTTCCGAACCTTGTTGGAACAAAATAGCATATACAACATGTTTTTAGACCTCTCAATATTTTAGTTATACAAAGGAATTTTTGGTTAATTTTAAAAAAGTATTCAAAAAATTAAAACACAATCCCCCCAAAATAGATAAAAATCAAGATAAACCTTTTATTTCATTAACAAGATACTTTTTTAAATCAACCAAAAGGAGCACATAGGTTATCGCAAACAATTTCAGAAGGTTATATCTTGGATTATGACTATTTTCTGACAATGAAGACAGGTTTATCTTTTAGATCAATTCAATATCTCAAAGAAAATTATATACAGTAATAGTAAAGTCAAACAAACTCAGAGATATTTAACTAGCAATCAACCCATCAACACACCTTTTCAAAGATGTTGACCCCATTTTTACCAAAAATGCAATCATTTTTACAATGTTTAATGCAAAATTACTATTCTTTATTTTGATGTTTCAAATAGTTCTTGATAGAAAAACTTAATTGCTTTAAGCTAAGTGTTTCCCATGTTATTTCTCCATTGAAAAATATCATGCTATCCATTGGTTTCAGTTCATTGGTCATCCAAATCCAGTATCTTTAAAGTCCCTGGAGCAATCAACTTTTCCTTTTGGGAAATAGAACATAGCTCAAAGCACATTCTAAATATGCATTCAACAATATAAGGTTGCATTTTTGGTGAAAATTAGGTCAACATTTTTGAAAAAGTATGTTGATTGGTCCATTGCCCCTTCAATATCACTTAGGTCACTGTGGCTAGTCGATCTATGTGGATGCAGTCATTTATATGTAATGTATTGTGGGTACTCGCGTACATTATAGGGAATGGGATCATTGCAAAAATATTACAGCAAATCGAGGTAAGTGATCTCAGAGTTTCTACTTAACATTGTGACTTGAAATCTTGCACACATATTCAATATACATAGTATGACAATGTGTGAAAGTTTCAGCTACCATATTCCTGTTATAGGGAAGATATTTGAAAAACATTTCGTAAACGTCAACATATATGTATAAAATGGATGCACCTATGTATCATTTGGATTCAGAACGGTAACAAATGGATGCTTTAATAAATTATACTTTTATCATGATGATTTATTTACTGATGGACAACTGGCCAGATTTTCTTTGTATCCATTGTTTGGATAAACATTCCTCATTCAGTAAAGTAATTAGCCACCTCATTACAAGTAGTCTAAAGGCACACTCATGAAAAAGTGAAAATACTATATATAAACCCGTCAACTGGAAAATGCCATTACAGATGAAATAAAGGACCCACGGTCCTGTGCTCACACAATGTAGAACCTACAGAGGAATGTATATCCTGATTTACAAACAAAAGTATTGGTAAATATGAGAACAATTAAAGATGAGTCCTTTGTTGTTGGTTCAGATATGATGTGTTGTAGTCAAAAGAAAAACTATGAATTTGACCTAGATTTTGACCTAGGCCTTTTAGTGTTCAAATTTTGAAGGAAAGTAGATTTTGAGGACGGCTTCTATTGTAGATTCTTATTAAGCTGGCTGCATCCAAGCTGTATCTAGTGTTGTGTTGTTACAATTGAAAATTTTCTCAAGCCCCATTGACTTAACATGGGATACCAAAATAGCGATTTTTGAGATTTCAAAATGCCATAACTTCCGAACCGGAAGTCGGATCAAAATCTGGTTTGCAGATTCGGATTCCTTGGACAATTTTACACATATTTCATAACTTATACATTGAATTCCAAGAACTTTTTATTGTGACCTACTTTTCGGATGCCATATCTCAAAAACGGTAAGAGTGATCAAAAACAACTTGCCTGTAGGGATTAGCTTTTTTCCAAGGAACATGTTTAAAAAAAACGGAGCAAAAATATTCAAGGACGACTGAGAAAATTGAAAAAATGAAAAAGTACTGGATTTGACCTAGTTCTTGACCTTTGACCTGGTTTAAACCTGATTACACCCAGATCTGGACTTGGACCTGAACTTGACCTTGACTTTGACCTGGACCTGGACCTGGACTTGGACCTGGAAATGGACTGGACTGGTATTTTTTCAATATTTTCTTCACTTCTCTTGACTTTCTATAAGGCTATCATCAGATCGATTTTTCTTGAAATTTAAAAATCAGCAATTTCTCGGAAACCGGGCGAACTTGGCAAATGGCGATGATAGGTCAAATAGACATTATGGATATGCATAAAATGAATGTGGAAATGACTCAATCCGAATAGCAGTTTTAATTTGTGCAGCCAATGTTGACAGACGGACGGACCAACGGACGGACGGACGGACCAACGGACGGACGCCTGGTCAATCCCATAGTCTCACTGTGTGAGCCAAAAACTATGGTTTTATCGCTGATACTGTTAATTTGAAAAACGGGTCCATAACATGTAATGATGACACTAAAAATGTTGAAATTAGGTACGTTAATGAAGTGAATTCAGAGCAAAAGACCCATCGACCCACTGGAATACCCACAAATCAAGTTTCAAAGCCTTGCCAAAGTCGGTCTATTTTACTTATCTTGATTTCTATTATGACCGCCTTGTACACAAGAGAAAGCCATGTGCTTTACCGACCCAATGTTTTTGTCGGTAAAATTTGACAAATCAACGACGGCCCTACATTGCCGGACTAGGTCTTCGTGCATTTCCATCACAAATTCAGTTTTGATTTTGAATCAACATTGAATTGCATGATTTCATTTAGACGAGTATTAATGACTGCTTACATTCCAATGTACATTTAATAACATAATATATTGTAACTCTCAAGAAACACTCGATCAGATCATTGAATTTCAAGTCCTAGACGGGTAGTTTGCTTTTTTTATGCAGGTCAACCTGATAACGTTTTGATTGGTCAATCAGCCTGAAGTCACACGTTGTGTCCATGTCCATATTGTCAATCAATATGGTTTTGCGATACCCTTAGGTAGCCTAGGTATTATGGGAATCTCGGAACCGCTGAATAACTTAGCATAATATCAGCGATGATACATTGGATTGTACAAGGTGGTAATAATTCAAGATCAGATAAGTAAATAAATACCGACTTGGGCAAGGCTACCAGTTTCAGAGCCATTAACATTCCTTGAAGGTGACAATGAGCAGCCAACAGATGGACCATCCGTAAATCTTGATGATTTTGTCAGCTCAGCTGAACGAGCTTCCAGATTCCTTGAAACAAATGACCATCATTCAAGAATAGTATTATCTATATACAATTTTTTTTAAATCGTGGTAAGTGGAATTTTTCTAATTACCAATACAGCATTATTATTGTTTTCGGACACTGTGGATTAAAATATTAAAAATACACACATTCAAAATGATTCAATTGAAACCTAGCCAGTCTGTTCAATGAATCCAATTAGAACGTCTACTAATCCACATGATACATCACAATTAAATTGCTTTTTTAAAGCTGATATTTCATACCATAACTCCAAAAATATTATAGAACGCATTGTATTTGTATTTTACTTCACACAGACATATTTGTGTATGTGAAATATTAATTTTACTTGAATTTTTTATTCCCCATTACAAGGTAAACCTATGGCAAATTATACATACCTTCTCACAGCTATGAGCGAGATGATAAAACTGGTCGAGTGAACTCGTTTGAGTTATCTATTCTCCGTAAAAATATCAGAGAATGTGTGTTTATAGCGTAGCTTTGTTTTTGTAAATCAATGAAGTATGATATACACGGATGAGTAAATATAGATTATTTAAACAGAAGTGCAAAATTCTTCGATTGAAAAGTACAGAGGCGGGTACTCACGAAACATTACATGTGCCTGACTGCATCCACATAGATCGACTAGCCACAGTGTAGGTCTGATTATCTAAATGTTCATGATCAGAAAATATTCATAATTCAAATTAGAATCGTTTGAAATTGTTTGCGATAACTTACGTGCTCCAAATTTCCTTTGTACAATTACAATAACATGTTGTGTTTATGTCGTTTTGTTTCAATGAGGTTCCGAAAGATGTTTCATTTCACTCTGGAAACGTGATACCAAGAACAAAACAAGTGTTTGATGTGTTTTCTAAAACAATATAGATGAAAGTATATATATATTTTTCAAATTATATTGTTACCATTCAAAAGATGACCATTAAATTGAGGATGTGTTAAACCTTTAGATTTTTTATGACTGGTTTAAGAGAAACGTGTGTTCAAAAAGTTCTCCATATCGATACCACTCCTTTTTGCACGCCAACACTACATCTTTGCTCCAGCGTGATATCAAATTATAACACAAAATGTTCCCCAGGAGTCATAATTATTTACGCACTAAAAACCAAAGACAATCTCTTGTATAGGATGATTCAATGGTTTATTCCTTTAGCTTTCTTGCACATGACTAATTTTCAGCTATGGCTTACTAACCCCCATGGCTCAACTAAAA